AGCCTGCTCCATTCAAAGAGCTCCAACCACACGCTACCAGGGGAGAAGAAGAAAATATAAAATTAAAAAGGAAAAAGTCCCCCTGCAAGCACGCTCCTCCAAAGCTATCCATCCCCAGCAGATCCCTGATGGACAACGCCACACTGGAAGAGGAAAGCCCAGAAAAAGGACTTGCTGCAGTAACACAGGTCCAATCCTGAAGACCCTGCTCCTTCCAGCCACCAGGACCTACTGAGACATGTCCCCCTTCCCATCAGGGTGACTCATTTCCATCCCCTCCCAGCCAGTCCCCAGAGGTGGCCGCTCCTCTTGCGGTAATACAGCCCTCCACCAAGCCAAGGTCTCCCAGATGGTGCCTTCCCTCCCAAACCACCCCTATCTTCCAGCCCCCTGCACATTCCCTTCCCTCCTTTCCCTTGAAGACATCAGGTTTCTGGAAGCAATTTAATTGTGAGCTGCAAAGAGGCTTACTTGGGCAGTGCTGGCCGGCTGGAGGCCCTGCTCTCCCAAAATGTTTCGTTTGCCCCCAGGGCAGTCACACCAGGGACCTGGCAGACCCTGCCCCTATAGGGAGCCTGCCCAGCTGGGAAAGAGAAGCACCACTTTTGCCTTCAAAGCCTTTCAACTGGAGGAAAAAAAATAATAATAATAAATATCAAAGCAAAGGCTTCCTCCCCTTTGAAGGGCGGGAGGGAGAGCAGCCAGGCGAGGGCCAGACCTGCCAAGAACAGAGCGGGGACCCCAATCCTCTGGGGCTGGAGTGCGAGCACTTTCATTATGAGCTTTTGCAGAGGCAGAATGAAGCCTTAGGTGCAAGCATTGCATTGAAATTCAAATCGGGGTGTTTCTCGGTGGAAACGCAGGATAAGAAGGAGGGCAGGGTTTGAAACCCTAGAGAAGGGCTAGGGAGGAAGGAAAGCAAGCTGCCCCATCCTGCCCTGCAAAAAACTTCATCCGAGGGGCCTTGGACTTGCCAGCATACCCTGCTTACAGCTCTGCCCCACACCCCAAAAACACCGGTGCTGCACACACTACGGCTGCCCCTCTTCTCCCCGTACCGCTCTTGGTGGGGTTTTAGTTGAGAGGGGGGGGAAGAGAAGGGAGGGAGGAAGAAATATATCGTAATTGCTATATTAAAGAGAAATAGCAGGCAAGAATAATAAGAGAGGTGTCAGAAGTGAAATACAGTAACAGACATTTAAAAAAAAAAAAAGACTACAGTTCTGTGATGGGGGTGTTAATTGAACACAGAGCTGGAGAGAACAAAGGGGTGTTAAGGAAGAAAAGAAGGGGAAAAAATCCTACCTCCTCCAAAGATCTGATTTGAGTTAAGTTTTGTGAAGATAATGCACAGGGAAAGGTAGCTAAGAGGCACCTTATATAGCTATTATGTTCTAAAATTAAAAAAAACCACACCATTATTCAACAACAATTGCACAGCTAATCAGTGCTGTCTATAAATATTCCACTTCGTAAATTCCCCCCATTGGTGGTACGTACATTTTTCTTTCAACCCTGAATTCCTTCAACACAGAAGGGCAAGGAGGGTAAGAAAATAAAAATCGGGGGATTTCAAATACAAAGTCAGGGTCTTTTTAAGAAGTAGAATTTGCCCCGTGCCCTCACCTCCCCCAAAAGAGCAGAGAAAGTGAAACGATGGGAAAAGCTCTTAAGGAGGAGGAATCAGATTAAATGGTCATATATCCTGCGCTCAGCCTCTCCCCGCCAGTCCCCGCCGAACAAGATGGGAGTTGGGAAAGGTTCACAGCTGAAATAGATGCTGCTGCATTTTGACAGCAGATATTTTCCAGTTTGCCATCCAAGGACCCCACGTCTGCGTACGCCTTGCCTGATTCTTCTGCTTAGCTATTCTGCTCATGCAGAGAACAGCTTAAAAAAAAATAAATACCAAGAGAGGGGAAAAAAAAAAAGGCCATAAAGACAGAGCCCCTACCCCTGCCTTCAAACTTTTTATAAATCAGCAATGCAATTTCCGATTTCAATCCCTATTGACGGAGGAATCAATTGTATTTAGGACAACAATGCCTGCTATTTCCATAATTATTATTCCAAAAAGCCAGCCAGCCATTTGAAGGCAGTCCTGCCCCTTCCCTCGCAACAAAGCGACCAACAGCAAGTGAAAACACACCAAATGAACGCCGCTGACAACTTATACATATATTTAAGCAGCAATTTTTTTCCGTGCTCCTGCTCGGATCAAACCTCTCAACTTTTATTACTGTTAAACAGACATCACCCCAAAAGCAGCAATGTCCAGGCTGCAGACAAAAGACAACCCACCGAGCTTTTTTTATTATTATTATTTTCAAAAGTGTTTATAAATGCTTTAAAATAACTGAAGAGCCCAAGTACAAAAGGGAACTCTTCGGCCAATACAGATGACCTCTTTTTCTAAGAACTTTATGGACACTTTGGGTTTGCTCAAGACAACGTTAACACTATGAAATATTAGCCATAATGTTGCGAGAGACAGTGGTAAAGTCTCCGTAAGGCTCTGGAGTCACTTAAATCAGGCAGCAGGGTAACCGAACGCACATTTCTGCACATCGTAACACCGGGGGGGAAGATGTACACACACACTTTCAAACACCCACCAGTGACCACAAACAATCACCAGGATTTCAAATGCGACACATGCAAAAATCTGGGAAGCAAAATGGAAAGTGGGAAGAAAGAAGTTGGCTCAACTTTCACGCCGCTGCCCACAAGGAAGGAGTAAGCAAACAGAAGCAGGCAGTACCCTCAGCCCCAGAAAAAAACAAGGCTAACTTCCTCCTAGCATTGGGCCCACAAAGCAGTAATTAAAAAAAAATAAAAATAAAACAAAACCATCTGGCCATTTGCTTCCTTACAAAGTGTGACTTTTGGGGATGCAGATGGGGGAGAGGGGAGGAGGTCTTTGAATTTGCAAAGTAAAATAATTCACCGTAAACCTATCTGAGGGAAGATAAACAACACTCCAAAAGCCATCTCAATTCAACCTCTTCGGAGACCTCTGTACAGCCGCCCTGTAGTCAAGTAAACCAGGCAAAACAGCAACAAATAAAATTTAAAAAAAAAAAGTAAGACAGCCCCAGTCCACACCTGAATATCCTTTATTTCCAGCAGCATGCTTCGCCCTATACCATCTCTCAATTTTCCTTAGCAGACAGGAATTATCCCACCCAGTCACTGTGGGTATGTACAGCTCGCCATCCCTCCCCAGCTTGCCGGGACCCCACGGCACCCCCGAGGATCCAGGAGGTCGCCCAGATTTCCCATCAGGTTTGGTCCTAGCGGATTCCCCATCCCCTAACTTTGTGACTGCACCGATGGCAAAGCCGAGCCAGGATTAATCCATTACCCTGCCAAAAAATACGCCCGCACGGACACCATACGCAGTACCAAACACATGCGGAGAAAAGGCAGACAAACATTTTCTTTGGCTCACACAAAATAAATGGAGAAAGAGAGAGGAAGGAAAGGAACTTGGTGGCTCCTTTTTTTGGGGTGGCATACAGGGAAAGACTATAAAAGCACCCATAAAATTTATCTCTAAGCAGACTCCCTCATGTTACGTCACATGAACTCTGCGGAGGTTCCCATACCGAACCCGCTGCTTGATATTATGGCAACTCTATAAGGAAGGACCTCTCGGTAAGGTCAGACCCGGCCACGCAGCCGCAAGGACTTCAGAAAGCCGAATGCCATCGGTCGGTGCTTTGTCTGGGCTACACGCTGCACAAACAACGTTTAACAAAGGGCCCCCTTAGACATTTTATATATATTGCAAGAGTCAAGTAATCGTATTTTCAATCAGCTGCTCACGCTAGGAGGTTTTATATATATATTTAAGAAAGGAAAAAAAAAAAAAGACCCAGATTCAGGTTTCCAAAAGCTGTTCCCCTTTTATGTGTAACTATCAATGTATATCAACTGGGTGTGCAATCATATTTATTGTCACTTTCATTCATGTCATGCCCTTGCTTATATGGTTTAGATATGAATTATTGACTGTTACAGTCCTTGTTGTAAAAAGGGGGGGGG